CCAGGCGGAACACGGGGGATTTGAATGGGACTTAATGTATCGATACCCGCGGCTGAAATATCGATACTTTCTCGGGAAACAAAATATCGATATATATCGCAGGATTGATTAAATTGTCTCAAGATTAAACAGGCAGATCTTTAAAGGATAACAAAGTCACTTTACAGCTGTCTGAAAACTCATTGTGATCTCATTTGCCTAGGTGTTTCTATTATTTCTGCTGTCTGCCTTGCACTTCAGTCTTCAAAGAAAACTTCAAACGGTAATACCCTTATTAAACCTTTTTTTGTATCTCGCCTCCTTTCTTTCTCAAGTTATGTGTACTGATTTATGAGCAGGTGGGATTTCTATACTTGCAAACAAATCCAAGTTGAGCCCAGGATATGTGATCCTTCAGTCCGCTTTAAGAGAGAAAAACCCATTAGGCTTTGTAAAGGAGTCCGACTCCTCTAAAGGATGCTACGCTCCACTGAGTCCTGCCTGGGTCCAGAGAAAACAAACCTAAACACACACATTAACCAGTGGTGAAGGAAGTATTCACACTCCGTTAAATACTATGTAGTCCTGGATTGAAAATGTTACTAGGGTAAAGGCATGTAAGATAAATATGAAAATGTATTAAAAGTAAAAGTACTTAATGCAGAAACATTTTCCTTTGGGAATGTTATGCTAGTAGATATTTGACAATTATATTGGTATCCTCTCCATTTAGTGAGATGTGGCATCAGAAACTAAGACTCCAATAACAATTTCACAATGAACCTCAACTAAATAAAACATGTTAACATTTTGAAATAGGAAAGTAGGATCATGAAATGTATTTTGCATTCAAATAAATATTTAAATGGTGATAAAAATGTGCTTTTATACTTGTAGTGCAGTAGAACATTTCATGACAAGAACATATAAATTAAAGTAAAAGTAACCCAAAGCTGTACTCAAGCACAGTACTTGATACAAATGTTCTGTTATATTCTTACTCTCGCATTAACATACACATAGAAAGCCTGTGTACTGAGAGACAGTGTGCACCCAGACCTGAGACGTGCAGACGGACATGCAGATATGCACACAACACACACACACACACACACACACACACACACACACACACACACACACACACACACACACACATTTGCA